TTAAGAATAAGTGGCAAAAGGAAGAAGAAAGCAGTGCCTACTAATATATTTTTTCTTCACTTCAAAAGTACAAGGTCAAAAAAAAACTTTTTTTAGTACAAGGTTAATTGTTTAAAGATATCACAAGACTGGAAAAAAAAGAAAAAAGAGTATGACAAGAACAATGGTTAGATATGAATCATCATCACCAGAATGTTTTTGTCTAGTTCGTGGCACACCTGTGATGTCCTTTCACACTGAAATTATTTTACTAAAGAAATGTAAGCCAATGATTACAATAATTGCCTTTAGGGGAGGCCAAGAAAGAGAGGTGAAAGAGAGACCAACTTTGTATCCACAGCCTTAGGTTCCTTCCCTTGTAAATATACTAACTTTTCAAGAATGACCAATACATTTTCTAAAGACAGAAAAATTCTATTTTAGTAGCAACTTACAAAACAATTTTTTAATGTTTCATAGTCTACTACAATGACAGCTTACCAGATTGATGATGCCAGTAATATATTAGTACTGTTTGCAAGAAACCTCAATGGAGGCTCTGCAAGCAGTATACAAGATAAAATTCCCCCACCAAAACAGCGGAGCATAGCAGTAAACCAGCTTGAGAGAGGATTCTTGCATGCGACTGTTACCGCCCCTGAAATGATAAGATAAAAAGAGAGGTCTGAGATAGGTGTGTATTTAAAGTCCAGAGGTGTCAGGGGCACTAAAGAAATAAGCTTCCTAAGAATATAACTTTCAAGAACTTACCATAATTATTATATGTGACAATCACAATCATTATAAACCAAGTCTTTAATTCCATAAAGCAGTGGTTCTCAACCTTCCTAATGCTGCCACCCTTAAATATAGTTCCTTAGGTTGTGGTGACCCCTCAACCATAAAATTATTTTCGTTGCTACTTCATAACTGTCATTTTGTTACTGTTATGAATAAGGCGACCCCTGTGAAAGGGTCATTCAACACCCATAAGGGTCGCAACCCACAGGTTGAGAACTGCTGCTATAAAGCAAGGTAAGAAGGCATGTTGTGATGGCACAAGTGATTTTTGCCATCTTAACATGCTCTGTTCAAGCTCTCACTCCGTGTTCTAGCAGTAGATAATTATAATCAATCTCTTCACCTACTGTTTACTTCCTTCACAAACCCTATTAGAATCACTCCTATGCAATATAATATGCCAAAGATATATATACATATATATATAATGTTAAATACCTTAGAAAATAAAAAGGGCTGGTACAAATAAACTAGAGGCTGGAAACAGAAGAACAAAATATACCTAGACACAAAACACTGATGAAGAACAGGATATTGACATCATCTCAAAATATCTTAAAATTAATAATCACTTATTACAGAAGGAAAATAAAACTTTAGAGTGGAGAAACTATGCAGCAACCACCAGATGACTCCTGATGTCAAGCACTGAGACCACATTACTACTTCTATGGTATTTCTATCAAAAATGTATAACCTAAACTGCTGTAATCAGACAAACCCAAATAAAGGACTATTCTGCCATAAAAAAACCTGGCCTGTAAAAAAAAAACAAAAAAACCTGGCCTGTACTTTTTAGAGATTTAGATTTAGAGATTCAAGTCAAGGTTAAGGAAATGTTCCAAATTAAATGTCATTAAAAAGATAAGTCAACTAAACACAAGGCATGTTCTGAATCATATCTTGGGTCAGAAATAATTATAAAGGACCTTATTTGGACAGTTGTAGTGAAGAGAAATTGGCATGGCTCTTCTATCAATAGCCTTTTTAACTCCTACCAAACGTCTGGGTGGGAACACGCAAATAAGAGTGTATAGCACTCCTATGAAAGTCTTGGTCAGTTTTGCCATTCCACTGGGTTTAAAATGAGCCTTATTAGAAGAAGCAGGTACAGATAATCTCATGATCAGCAGAGCACTGGTGGTAGCATCATGAGACACAGCAAGAGTTTCCCAGACATAGAACAAGAAAAGTTGAGTGCCGTCAGGCAGGAGGCTGGCTTATAAAGTGGGGTACCCTTCAGGCATTTATCAGTGCTCAAGGAGCTTTCTAACCCTTGCCTGTGCAGAACAGAGACCAAGGGCCTATGTGACTACATGACAAAGAACCAGAGAGTAGCATGCCTACCAACATGACTAAGAAAAATAATTATAGACAAAACAACTGTATCCTTAACATTTCTGATCCTGACTTAGAATCTGTGGCATCCATAATAAATCCCATAATTGTGAGTACTGTTTGTGAGTTATGTGTGGCCAATGCAAGCAATTATTCAACCCAACAGAAAAGCAGAGTACCTTAGGAGGGACGATTGGTGTCAGTAGGAAAAGGAAGGTTGGAAGGTAGAGGCAAGTCTTAGGTCTACCTCACAGGAATACTCTGGGCAAATGTGGACTTGCACTATCATCTCAGGATGTGGCTCCCATGCCATCATATTCTCAACAGTTAAGAAAATCTTAACTATGAATGGTGAATTAGATAATAGTATTACATCACTGCTAAACTCCTTGATTCTGATAAATGTAGTATGGTTCTTAGAGTACACATATTTAAGTAATCACTGTTACTAAATGTCTTTAAATTATACTAGTGTGTTCAAAAATTAATATGCATCAATTAAAATTTTAGAAAAAGAAAACAGTAATGTAAACAGTAGGTGAATACGGGCAAAGAGTACCTTGGCTTATTCTGACAACCCTTTTATCTATAAGTCAGGAAATATCAAGGGGAAAAGTTACCAGAAAAATAAACTCAAGGAAAAGGAGACAGAAAATAATTAAATGGAGCTAAAATAAGGGGGATCAATATAGGCAATCAATAAAGTCCACCAAAGCTGTTCTTTGAAAACACTAATAAAACGGATTACTGTTCAGCAAATCCATATAAGATTAAAAGTTTTTTTAAAAAACATAACTATAGTTAGAGGGATTTTTTTTTTCTTTTTTTTAACCTTTTGATTATGGTGAGGGTTTTTTTTTGCTTGGTATTTTTTTTTTGATCATTTTATTAGGGGCTCACACAATTATCACAATCCATACAAACATCAATTATGTAAAGTACATTTGTACATTCATTGTCCTCATCATTCTCAAAACATCCGCTCTCCACCCAAGCCCCTGGAATCAGCTCATTTTTCCCCTCCCGCCCCATTCCCCCCTCCCTCATGAACCCTTGATAATTTATAAATTATTATTTTATCATATCTTGCCCTATCTGACATCTCCCTTCACTCACTTTTCTTTTGTCCGTCCCCCAGGGAGGAGGTTATATGTAGATCCTTGCGATTGGTTCCCCCTTTCAAAACCCATCCTCCCTCCACCCTCCCAGTATCACCACTCACACTACTGGTCCTGAAGGGATCATCCGCCCTGGATTCCCTGTGTTTGCAGTTCCTATCTGTACCAGTGTACATCCTCTGGTCTAG